GGTGAGCGTAAAAGTTATCACTGAAATGAGTATATATAAAATAAAATATCTTGCCAACTTGCTTGTAGCACTCACCTGCCTATTATGTATATATTTGTATGTTTATGTGTTAGCTAAAAAATATCATATCGCTATCAGTAAAATGATAACTCCATAACAAAAAGCAACAAAAACACAATTAACGCGTAGATAAGGTAGTATATTTTTGTAAATTCATACCCTTATAAGTTAGGCGAAAAGTAAATTTGTGCTCTCAAAAGCCACATATTAGTATATACATATGTACATATGTTCATTTTCGCCACTAATTAAACGCATTCTTAGCTAAGGGAAAATTAAAAGTGCGCGAGTCACTGTTGGCGACGGATCGGTGTGAAATTGATCGGATCGTGTGGTGTTAGTTATTATTCAATTGCAGCGGTTGTGCTGTTGATAAGCTCAGAATCAGAAGAAGAAAAACCAAGTAAACATATATAAACAGTAATTTTCATTATTGACTTGTGCTATGTGCATTGCAAAATTATACCAGTTTGATGGGGAGATATTGGAAATATTGATTTTCGCTGCTGCTATTGAAAAATAAATTGCTTTGTGACAAAAAAAAAGTGAAGTTGATGCGTTGAAATAACGGTTTTTGAATTTAAAAATAATTTGAAAGCTACTTAAAAAATCAAAAATAAATTACAACTGAATTGACTAAAAAAAATATATATCATTAATAAAAAGAAAAAATATAAATAGAGAGAATATTTGAAAAAAAAAAATTAAAATTTTTTATAAGCATCAAATAGAAAGGCTTCGAAAATAGTGCCAATAAAACCAAAATAATTTAAAAGAAATCGGAAAAAATTGCTTTTAAACAAAAAAACTTAATTAACGCGAGTTCTGTGTGAATGTCTAGTGGAGTTGTTTTCAAAAATGACAAATTTTCAAAATGAGCTTGTAAGTAACAAGTCAACTATTTATTAATCAAAAAATAGCTTGCACACATAACTACCTCAGCAAGCACATATATTATTATACCATCAATGAGATAACCTAAAAATGTGTGTTAGTGCCGGAAGGTAAACGAACTAAAAGAAGAAATTATTTACATATATCAGCAAATAATTGAATAAAAATCGAAAAACAAGTATTTTTATGACGTTTTATTAGACTTCTCTTGAGGCCTTTTCTTCAGCAACCAAAATCATTCATCATAGACTGAAACAGTTGGCAATCACTTGTTGCGCGGGCCGGAACTTCTGGCGCGTCCCTATCGATGTGTGTGGTCTGGCGTTGTCGTGATGAAACACAATTCCCCTTGACAAACCTTTGCTCTTTTGAACGATTACTTTCTTTAAGCTATTCAATTGCTGACAGATTAAAAACTTGGTCGTCAATCCTGGCATGTAAACCCGTTTGTGCCGGCTCACTACCTTTCGACTAGGCCCGTTTTCACTTGACGTTACTGTATGTAATCGGCTTTTCGACACCTATCAGAATCCGCTTCAGAAATGGTTCGATTTCTTTTACAATTCAGCAGTTATACGCATATGGAAATTCGCTCCATGAGGGTTTTTCTCGATAAATCATGGAGCATCTTTGTGTCTGCAGCCCTTTAAAAGGCGTTTAGGGCATGGGCTATTGAAAAAGTGCTCGTATGATGATCAGACTTGATGATTTCCATTAGTTTAACGTGATTTTTCGACAATTTATCTTCCACACCGTGGAGCATCATTTACATCAAAATTACCGGAATGGCATCCACGAAACCAAAACTATGCATGATTGATTGTCACAGTAATCCACTAAAGCCGTCTGTTGCGAAAATGATAGATGACTTGTTACTAGACCTAATATTTTTTATGAGTGGTTATGCCAACTATGTATTTTTCGGCCGTGCGCCTCTCCAAATCTGGAAGGATCTTCTAGATGTTGTTCTTACAAATCGAGCAACCAACGGTTAATTCTAAGCCATCTCCGATTGACTGTTAATAAGGAGCTTTTATATGTCTTGCGAGAAATACCCTCACAGGGCTTGACATTCCCAGCCACGTGGCGACTGTGACTAGAAACAAGAAAGGAAGAGTTTTCTGTCTCATTATTCTGTTCATATCGGCATAAATTTTGATATTCTATCTCACTCCTTCTGATACTTGCATACAACGAATCAAATTTAGCGAACAAAACGGCAAAGCAAACAGCAAAGTAAAACTAATGGATGATCTATTTCTAGACCTAATGTGGGATATCACTTCTTTTGGAGAGTTTCATTGTAGGCGAGTATTTTAAAGTAGTTGTTATTTAGCCAACTGTTTGGTTTTTGTTTTTTGCCTTTCTCTAACTAAGCATGTTGCTAACACATGTTTTGCCAACTGTTCACCTCGATGTGCTAGTGCTTTGTTTGTACGTTGTTAAAAATACAGAAAAAATCGATATATAAATAAAAGGAGAATGATATTAAGTACCACACTTATGAGTAAAGAATGCCTGGACTGATTTCATTGATTCGCAATGAGTTGTATTGGTCTCTGGCCAAGCAAGAAGGATACGAAATAAATACAGGACCTTCCCAATTGTATTTCTCTTTTCTTCAAAATAAGTTACGCAGTTAGCTTAACGTTTGATTTAACATCAACACTAACTTGTCTCCCGGGAAGCAGAATAAGGATCGATCTATTCGAAAGCAGCACATTTATTATTCAATTTACATGAGACTTATTTTCTTTGCAGAACCTTGATAATGATTTTTTAGAAAAAAAAAAAAAATATTTTTAATTAAATTAAATATTTTTATTTCTGTAGCGCATTCGATCGTTTCTCACTTAAACGCTGGCATTATTTTATTTTTGACTATCATTGATAAAAATATTTATTTCCCGGTAATAGATTAAAATCGATTTGCTTGAAATTTAGGACGTTGGCAGCTATTTTCGTGCTTTATAGACGCGAAGGCTATTTCCGACCTAGATTAAACATACATAGAGTGCTTTAGTGCTGGACGGGGATCACTGATAAACTGCACAATGCTAACTTCGGGGCACTCATATATAATTTTTCCTGGAAGCTGGCTATGTCTGATACGCCCCTCCATGAGTGGGTAAAAAATAACTCAGTCGCTGTAATATTTGAACGTCAAGCTTTGAAAGCACTCATGTATATACAAACATACATATATAGGTTTTAATAATAGGGATAATATGATTTCTAAGTGTCGTTTTCGCCAGTTTTAATATGTCATGAACTGTCATTTTTTTATTGTATTTAGTAATGTTTACAATTCAATAATGACAAGATATACGCAAGAACAACGTTAACAAACAACAACAACTTGATAACGATAAGGATTTTTTCTAAAAAAATCATTTTCTCAATAAATAAACAAAACTGACGATTCTGTAACGAAGAAAATCCATAGATTATTAAAGAACAAGCATTATATATATATAATTGACGCTTTGTAACACCTCCTCCAATTGGTGGTTATGCGTCTTGATGTTTTTCCAACAAATGGAGGAATGTACAGTTTATACTAAGCCGCCCCGAACGGCTGATGGTTTCTTTTTATGAGGAACCCTTATTTCAGGTCAGAAATACACTCGAAGGCGTTTACATTCCCCGCCGAAGAGCGATCGAAGTTAGGAAATATAGCTTAATTTTTAATTTTAAATTAAATTTCCATAATTTTTGGATGCCAGCAAAGCACTAGGATTTTCACCCGAGTCTTCCGAACGGCAGTACGCAATGCTAACCACTCAGCTACCGCGGTCGCCAAGTATTAAATTCACTTAAATTGACCATTTGGTGTGATTTTTGGTCCAATGAAATCATCGGTCTGTACTTCTTTCGAAAAGAAGCTTGTAGCACCGTTGCTGTGAATACGGTATAGATTGATGATAACCCGCATTTTATGATCGCAATTGTAAGAAATTCATCTTAACAACAACTGGTTCCAACAAAACGTCGAACGTATCACACAGCACGTGCAACAACCGAATTAATGCGGTCAAGGTTTGGATATTTGCTAGTTTCAGGAAATTGTGACAATGAATGGTCTTCGAGAACATGTGATTTAACATAATTAGACGACTTCTTGTGGGTTATTTGAAGCCGTTGGACTTTAGCAATAAACCAGACTCTCTTCAGGCTTTAAATGCCTTTATTGAAAGTGCTATTCATGATGTTCCACTTGATTTAGTGGAAAGAGTGCCCAAAAATTGGGTTCAACATTTGAATTTCTCTAAAAATTAGTGTGTTTTTTTTTGTAAGAAATCATATACATATGTACATAGCTGGATCAACAATATAATGGGATAATATTAAATTTCCATTAGTTGAACGTACTAAAGAGTTTTAATAACTCTTTGCCTATTACCTCGATTTTACAATAACAAATAACCCCTGTCTACAAGTAAAATTTATAACTTTCCATAGGAAATGTCAATTTCTTTCCTCTATAAAACATCAAACTTCCCATGCACTTACATACATATATTAACTTTATATTAGTTGATTTGCTTTATTAATTTCTAAAATAAATTTGATTTATGTGATTTTGCTTGGCAATTGGCACTCGGCACCTGCTAGTCGATAAGATCAATGACAAAGCATGACTTCATATTAAAAAGGAAATATTAATAATTATTATCGGTACCTATAAATTTAAATCACGACTAAATTAAGTTATTCTAAATATGCTTGTGATATCATTAGTAATGTTAGAAAAAACAGACGAAAGAATTAAAAAATGTTAAGTCATGTTATGAAATACTGACGAAATATTTTGTTTAGTTCAATAAATTATATACCCTTAATCTCGAAAGATAAAATAAAAAAATCTTATAAAAATGTTTCCGAAAAATACAGCGTTGTCGATTTGGCAGTTTCGAAAACAAACGTAAATAAATTATATTAATTTTTTTTTATGAAATTCTCCCTTAATTATATAGTTTGAACTTTGGCATTATAATTACATATGTGAAATATTATATAATTCAAATGATGGTCTCGCAAATTTTTTCAAACTTTGATCCGTTTGAGGTAATTTTCGACGAAATTTTGGCACACATTGGAAGGCATCTCAGTAATAACTAGACGAATGTTGGTTTCCAAGTACTCAAGAATTAAAGATTTTTCCACACAAACACAATTATTTGCGACAAAAAAGAAAAGTCTAACGATATCTGCCATTTGACATTGTCAAGACGAGAGATTATGCGATTGGGAAAATTTCTCTCCCAATAAGGCTTTATTCGCCCGTGTTATATGGTATGTTATACCATCTTGTTAAAACAATGTATTACCAAAGTCGTGTTCTTCATTTGCAGGCTAAACAGATTCTGTATGATAACCACAACGCTCCGAACTGAAGGTCCAAACTTACCTCCACACCGAATAGCGTCTTAGAGAGTAAGTTTTTTTTTTTTTTTAATGTATTGATTTTTCTTCATTTATTTGGGGACTCTCGGAGCCCCCAAAAGCAATATGTTTGCTTACATATGTATTTTTCGAGTTCAAAATACTGCTGCTGTTCAAGCACCCAATGGACGTATGTATGACGTTGCGATCAGCCAGCTGGGTATAGTTGCAATGTGAGCTGGGTTTTATACTGATGTAAGTGTAATTCCAAGTGCAAACTATGCCATAATGTGTCAAAATAAGGTCCCAGCTCTCAGAAATAGGCATTTTCAGCTCTTCGGCCACACTTTTACTTACATTAACGATACCTGAGTTGGAACGAGCAAAACTATAATGCAAGTGCGCTAGCGTGAGTAGTGTGACGACTGTGTGAAATACACTTTGTACATTGTTGGGAAAATGCTTCAGCTAATTCTTCAACAGATTCACACCATTTGCCTTTTGGTTTTAGAGATTATTGTGTATCGCTTTGCAGTTCGCTTAGGAGAGCTAGTTGCTCTCCAAATATTGTCTATTTGAGCTACTATAAATATGAGGCTTATTTATATATGTAATATTTTTGTAGAACAATTCTTTTATGAAGGAATTAATAAAAAAACCGAGACGTGAATCTATATACCTTTCAGGTCCACATAAAACTTTCGGTACTTTATTTTGAGTTTAAATATTAATACTCTTTCTGATAAATTGGTTCCTTGCGGACTTTAATGTAGCTTTCCGATTTTTTAAATATTTTCGGCCACAATATTTATTTATTGTATTTCCAAAATTTCATGTTCGTAGATGTTTTTTTGATAGGTTTTGCATCCGAAACATCATTAATGAATAAACCGGTTTTATGGGAGCTAAATGCTATAGTACACCGATTTAGATGATTTTCAGAGATACCCTTACGCTTGTAGATGCATTTTGGATGAATTTTTGAACTGAAATCTTATATCTGACCAAATCGGTGGTATAGGGTCTATGTCATATAGCCTTCTGATTTCAATCATTTTCAGCACTAATATGTAGTCCATCATCATATGTGTAGACTACCAAATTTCATAGTATAAGATGCTTTTTGACAAATTTATTTGACGCAAAATCTCAATCTGACGACACTAGATCGTTTAAATGTACCAGTGTTACTGTGTACCAGGTGTAGTGGATATATCTCCAAATTGAAGAACTAGTCAGCATTGAAATAAACGGACAGACTACACGTCGCTTTGAACTGGTCGGTATAAATTTCGATAGTTCCATCTCTTCTCCTTTCAATACTTATATTTTTCGAACTAAATATAATACAATATATTTTCATATAGATGAAAGGTTTCAAAAATAGTAATGAAGTCAATTTTTTGTTAAGTACAATAGTACTCAATATACGTAGAATATTTTTAAAGTTTATTAGACAATATTTCATTAGTTAAATATGTATGTATTATATGTGAAAATATTTTATCAACATGTTTTATCTCAAACAAGTGTTACCGAATTTTTGTATCACCACAAAAATGTGTAGTAATTTTAGAAACAGAAGCTTCATTTGCTTTTATGATTGTTTATAAATACCGTAAGTTCTTTTCAGTATTTAAAAGCGACTAACATTGGCGCACCTGAAGTAGTGCTGATTAATGCCATCTGTTTAGAGAATAATTAAAAGTAAGAAAATAAAACACACATTTTTTCCATGGCACCCCACACCCCTACACTGCTCAAGGCATTTAATTAATTTTTCGGCGTCTCTTTACAATCGATTTGTAGCTGTAGTCTTATCATAGCGATCAAAATCTCAGCGCACTATCAGATATTGAAGGAGTGTTGTTTTTTTTTTGTTATATTTGTATTTTTTTTTTTTGCATTTCTAGCGTATCTTCTTTAATTTGATATTCATTTGCCTTTTATTGCCAGCTTAGTCATACCGCAGGCGTAATTTCAACCCATATTGATTTGCTATAAAATAATAAATTCGATTGCCTTACGTACATACGTCTATGTACATATATATTTAGCGAGTGCAAACTTTCTTTGCTTCGAATTGCTTCGAATATAGCAATTTCGCGAATAGGCGTAAAATTACAAAGGCAAATAAGTAGAGATTTTTTTGTTGCGTCATAGGTGTGTTGAAAAAAAAAAACTGCGAATAAACAAATACTCATTGCGGTATTAAATATATATTTACACACCCTCGTGATGTCTGTGCAATTTGTAATTTAATTGCTTGACATCTAAAGGGTGGGCCGCAACGAATTTGTGTACCAAAATTTATAATATAAAAAAAAAGATTGGATGAAGATTTTTCAATGATTTCGTCTTTGTTGAAATACCTCAGCGGTTTCTATGCTGCTCTTCCACTCAATTTTTCAACACCTTTTCGATTATAAGATGCTCTTTGGCTGCAATGGAAGTCGTGACTCGTCACTGGCTTGTCGCCGAAGTACTGGTCCTTAACGGCTCCTCACAAAAAATTGCCCAGTAGAATCGAGTCGTAGCTACAAAGTGATTAGTTGACATCGTCGTTTCAGCTAATAATAAGCGATTTTCCAACACCTTGGGCAAATCATCGCTTGTAACGCCGGCTGTGTCATACGTGTCCATGTCATTCTCTTCAACTTTAAAAAAAAAATCTCTGGCAATGATAAGGTAGCGGCCGGCATTTACGGCAACAAAAAAATGGACCAATGATGCCGCCGGTGTACATGACACACCAAACAATCACTCGTTCTGCATACATTGGCTTTTTCATAGTTATTATTTATTATTACTGAATATTATTAAAATTAGCGCTTTGTAACCGCTAAAGCGATTTTTGGCCGAACTCCTCCTCCAATTTGTGCTGTGCGTCTTAATATTTATATTAGCTGGAAAAAGTGGAACCGCCTTCGAGCGGCTGAGGGATGTTTGAGAAGGCTCAGGTTGGTATTCTCTACCGAAGGTGAACGCAATTAGAAAAGTATTTAAAATTATTTAAAACTATTTAAATTTATTTAATTTATTATTTAAATTATTTAATTTATTTTTGTTGATCCCACCTGGCTGTCTAAATGATAGTATGCACTGCTAATTGCTCGGTTATCGGAATCGCCATGTTACATATAGGTTCTCAGGAGAGTTCCAAATGCGAAAGGTTGACTAGCTAATGTAACCGGGGGGGGAAAAGAGTTCAATTGGGAAATATCAGACTAAAGACACGAATGTGAGCTGCACCACTTTAGCTATTAAGTAAAGTCGTTATGCTCTTTACAGACCCAAATTTCTTCACCTCTAAATCAGCTTAAGGCTGTGCTTCAGCTCTACGCACTCTTCTATGTGTGTTCTACACTCAGCCGATTTCACCTTACTTAGGTTTTGGAGATAACAGCTCAGGGGTAAATGCCCCTTGAAAACATCTAGACAAGACTACTTAGGTGTATTTTGCTTAGCTGTTGCTGCTTGGTTTGTGCGCTGCCCCACAATAATTCTATGTCGTACGTTGTACGTTGATATGTTGTATTTGGAAGGTCTACTGCTGTGTCTGTCTCTCATTTAGACCTTCCCGAACCAATTGTCAATAAATGTTTTCAATCGAAATATTGTAGCAGCCACTGGTATCAGAATTAAGACGTTGGATCCAAAAGAGTTATGGAACAGTGTTATCACAAATCAGCTAACAGCATCTTTAAATATATCAGCATAGATTAGATTAGATTTCAATGCTTGCTTCTAGGTCTTTAGTGAATTTAGCGAAGCGTCATTTCATTAGAGGGTCATGTGACTTCAGTTCTTGGACCGATTGGACTTTATAAGCCTTCATACCATAGTATTTATAAAAAAGAGTACGTAGAAGGGCGAGTGCATGTTAAGCTCTTCCTGAGAACGGTGTCGAGTTGATGTTGGCAGCTATTTGATCTCACTTTGAGCGATAGCTGCAATATTTCCATCGGAAAGCACTAAACAAGCAAGTTTTCACGATGAGTTGTTTTGCTCGATTACTAACCGGATTGACCTACTACCTGAACAACAAGTTATTTCGTCCGAAATTCATGCGTAATTTTATTTGCAGTTACCATTTGAGGTTAACTATCTTGGAAGTATGTTTTCAATATATCGCTACTTTCTTCAAGATTTACCAAGCTTGCTACTGAATATTTGACACATTAGAAATATTCCTGAATTTGTCAAAACTCAAAAACGAAACGGCAGCTGACCCACCCGCTACTTGTGTGTAATATATCATGTGCTTGTCTGTGGTTTTAATGGATTTACTATTTGTCGTGTGCAGCTATATACGTTCATGGGTTATTTTTTATTTTATTTTTTACAATTTATTGGCGCATGTTTTCGAAAAAAAAGAAAAGTAATAAATAAATGTTAGTTTCTTTTATTAATAAAATAAATGGTTTGATAAGAGTTACCATTTATCATAAATATCAATTAAGTAAAGCTCTAGTTCATGACAGCTGAGTTAAGCTCTGCTTTCAATCGCACAATGGTAAGGTAAACAGTTTCTTTTTGTATTCTATAGAATTGGAACTTTAAGCTCTTTGAGTGCAGCATTAGTTAATTGATATGCGGAATTTCACTATTTTTGCCTCCACTTCGAAATTTCATCTAAATAATTTAGTTTCTATGCCATGCTGATGTGTAATTAAAGTAAAATTTATGCCTAAAGACGCTATGAGCTTCACGCGAAATATTTACATACATAATTATATATATAATATATATATATATTATGCTTATCTGTATGTATCTCTTAACAATTTGATAGCAATGTCGAAATTGATAAGCTACGCAAATATACATATCTAAGGAATTTATGCTAATGAAATCGCGCTTCTGTTTTAGCTTTTTTAACAAAAATTGTAGTAAATTTCAGCTATTTTTCCTGTAAACAATTTCCAAAAGAAAAAATGTAATTTAATAAAAATACAATAAAAATACTTAAAAGAATTCAAGGTTTCTTATGTAATTTTGGATAGGAAATGACCTTAGATATTAAAGATTATTTTTGTGTGTTCATAATCTTTTCACTAATCAGTCATAAAATTTATTGTTATAAGCATTAAATAAACTAAAAGCCCGTTTTCTTTGTATGAATTAAGTATTTTTGTTATACAACAAAGAAAAATGGTAGAAGTGACAGCTGTTTCGGAGATCATCACATCTCCTCATCAGACTTCTTATGGCAGAGATCGAACCAACGGATCCTGACTCAACAGGCGAGCATTCTACACTGCGCCAACATCAGCCAAATACTCTTTTGTTGTATTATTCAATTCATTATTAACCAACAACTATTAAATGCGCTATTAATTATTTCTTTAAGTCACCATGACCACGCCAGTAAGGAAAAGCTTATCAGCAGTGAAATAATATTATTTATATATGCATTTCCTCAAATTGGCGAGTTCGATGAATTTTTTTTGTGTGTTTTTTATCTGAGCCAAAATATGGTTTGGTGGAAAAAATATTTACCAGCAAAAAAAAAAAAAAAACAATATCGATATATACAGTAGACTCCAGGGCTAGTGTAACGAATGGTATTTTTATAGAACATATGAGAGGAAATTTCCAGAGCCGAGTACGAGCTACGGTTGAGGTATATTAGAGCGCGGTCAACACCACAGAAGTTAGTTACAAAGTGATCACATTGGTGTAGAGTGAATAAAAAGTGGTGTAGAATTGTAAAATAAGCCATCTTGTATACTACAGCTACTCTCTATGTTTTTTTCTTATTGGAAGTATTGCATACTATCGGCAGATAATGTCAACCTCTCCAAGTTTTGAAATAAGAGTTCAGCATAAAAATCTATCATGCTTTTGGAGACGGCTTAGAACAGCCTGTAAGTCTCTCCATTTATTGTAAACACATTAAGATGTGTAAAACAAATTATACTCACTGCATTGGTTTTGGGAATAAAATGGCGCGTAATGTGTCCAAGCGGATTTCTTGTTTTGCAGACAAATCGGAGATCAAAAACTTTCCACCGCGTTAAGCATGAAAAATCCGCTAAGACACACTTTTTCCCATTTTATTCGCAGGGCAGTGTTAGAGGACGCCACATTTTTTCGATGCTTGACGTCAGAAGTTTTCTTCAAGTGTTCTCTTCAAAGATTCTGTTTCATTAATCCTGAATCTCTTCGTAACGACGACTGTTCGTTTGATGATGGGAATCATTTAGAATACTACCAGAACTATACGCTACGCTTTTTCATCCAGTCTGACAAAAACAAAACTCACGGTCCAAATGTTGAGACGAATGATGTCAATACTGTTATAGAAGATTGTATCTTCTCTGTTTAGCTATGTGGCTCATATAATTTTCTCCAGCAATAAATTAAGGCATTTACGCGATAAGAAATCATCTTCTCTGAAGTCGCGTTTGGTGTCGAATGGCTCCGAGAGGTCCCTCCAGTTGTGGCGGACCTTTTGGTCTACTTAATGACAGCTTATACAACCGTCAGAAAGTGTGACATAGAGGTACCTTCTTTTTGTGCTGCCAAAGGCTGCTTAAAATCGATGAAGGTCGTCATTACTTACGTTATTGGTTTAGAAACCGCTTATGTTATTACAGCCATTCTTTTACTTTACTTTACTTTTTCCGCTCACCTTTAGACGGGTCTTTTTCAATTATTGGCGCATATGCAATATCTGGCCAATGGCAGATTAAAAGCTACACCGATTAGCTCCAGTTCGTTTTTTGACCTAGTGTTTCGGTCTTTCACACAATACACTCCACGGTAATTTGGATTGGGTAGAGTTCACTTAGTTTCCCATAGTTGGGGGTGCTTTCATTTGATCATATTTTACAAAAAAAAAAAAAAAAAATCATACTTAAACCTTGTTAGTTTTTCATTGGCCGTCATTCTATCGGCCCTGCTTTTTTTTGTTTGTTTGTTTTTATTTTCAAGTGAGCGACTACTATTCGAACTTCTTCATGACCCAGAAAGAAAAAATCTGTTCCATCACCAGCGATACACTGTAGTCTGGTATCCTATTCAGAAGGCTGGAGAAATGTTTCATCCATAAATTGAGTACACACTGGGCATCAGAAAGAGTGTACTGCTCTCTTAAAATGTTCTGTAAGTCTTAACATATTTCTGTAGAATTTTCGATCCACTCTGACCCACCCTTACCGCCAGCCCCTCAAGCTTTTCGTATTTACGCATCTCAACATATTTTCGTAGAATTTTGGAGCATTTTCTCTGTCCACCAGCTTCTCAAGCTCTTCTCACTTACGCATATCGGCGTCTGCTGTTGCGAGGTAGGCAGTCTGTTTTATCTCTACGGCACGATAATCTCCATTGTAACTGCTCTCCATTTGACCTTTGAGCAAAGCAACAGTTCATTGTGCTACTACAGAGAGATGTACCAATAACAGAAGGGGCTCTATGAATCTCTTAACAACAGACGTATTCACTTAGGCGATACAAGTAATTTTGTTATCATTTGATATTTAATATTCGTTAGATCTTCTAGCAAGAGTGTCCAAATGTGTTATATATTAGGTTGTCAAATATCTCCCTTCCGCTTTCTTTGTCTTTTGAATTTCGCGGCTATGTACAAAGCGCTACAGAGCTCGTATCTGGCAACACTATACATAATTTGAAAGGTCTTGACATAACCTACAAAACAACGCTATGCATGATTAGTTTGGATTTTGCGTTCAACATTTATAGACGTGTAAACATGGAGTTCACTAACGCCGAAATTCGCGCTATTTTAAAGTTTTCCCTCGTTAAAGGCAAATCCGCTAGAGAAACGTTCCGTGAGATTAATGGTGTTTTGGGGGATGGTACTCTATCACTTCGAACCGCGGAGGAATGGTTTCGACGATTCCAACGACACCATGGATAAGCCAGCCGGCGGAAGATCTGTGACGACAAATACCGATCAAATCATGGACATCTCGTGACATCGCCCAGGAGATGGCAGTCACCAAACCATTCGAGCCATCTGCAGAAGGCTGGATACAAAAAAAGTTTGATGTTTAGGTGCCGCATAATTTGACGCAAAAAAACCTTCCGGACCGAATTAACGCCTGCGATATGCTGCTGGAACGGAACGAACTCGACCCATTCTTGAAGCGGATGGTGACTGGCGACGAAAAATGGATCACATACGAAAATATCAAGCAAAAACGGTCGTGGTCGAAGGCCGGTGAATCGTCCCAAACAGTGGCCAAGCCGGGATTGACGGCCAGGAAGGTTTTGCTGTGTATTTGATGGGATCGGAAGGTAATCATCCACAATGATCTGCTCCCATATGGCCAGACGCTTAATTTTACCATCTACTGCGAACAACTGGACCGCTTGAAGCAGGCGATCGACCAGAAGTGTCCAGAATTGGCCAACAGGAAGGGTGTAGTGTTCCACCAGGACAACGCCAGACCACACAAACTTCGTTGATGACTCGTCAGAAGCTAGGAGAGCTCGGATGGGAGGTTTTATCGCATCCACCATATAGACCGGACGTAGCGCCAAGTGATTACCACCTGTTCCTGTCCATGGCGAATGCCCTTGGTAGTGTGAATTTGAACTCAAAAGAGGCTTGTGAAAAGTGGCCGAATTCTTCGCAAGTAAGGAGGGGGGCTTCTACGAGGAAGGTATTATGAAGTTGCCGTCTAGATGGAAACAGATCATCGAACAAAACGGCGCATATTTTAACTAAATCCAAGCAAAAAAACGGAAGGGTGATATTTGACAACCTTTTATTATATATGTATATTATATATGTATATAAATACTAAGTAATAAATAAAAGTATTTATTTTTTTTTTTTTGAATTTGAATCGTTATTCAAATTAGTTGGTACTGATAAAAAGATTAAAAACCCATTAGTAATCTTATTCGAGTTCGAATTCGAAAGTAACAGCTAATTATGATATTTGCATATTTGCCTACACATTAACAATATTTGCGTGCGTATGCAATCAAACCTATAAACACTGGTAAGAAATTTGTTTACACAAACAAAAAAAAAGTATAAACAAATGTAGAATTAGAAAATCCTCTTGAAATTAACTGTTATCGAAAAGAAATTAACCTTTACACAGGAAATGGTAAAGCGCTCAGCTAATACAGCTAATAAGAATCGAAAACAGATAACTCAAAAATATTTTTATATGTTTATGGTTTTACGTATAATCTATTAATTATCGTTAGCACACACACAAACACACAAACACAGACAAGTATACATGTATCTAAGTTTAGCATGAGCATAGGTGAAATCTCGCGTACAAAAATCCTCTCGTCGCACGTAGAACAACCAGCCACTCGTCTTTATGAAGTGCCTTTCGAGGGCTTATTGGTGTATTATGAACTCGAGTATGTCAACTGATAAATCTGTCTGCCTGAAAAGCTGAAAACTTATTTTTGAAGAGGCGCCAATACACATACATCCAATACATATGTACATGTGTCAGGTGCACACCCACTTGTAGGAGAATCCCTTTTATGCCATAAACCATTTTTTAATAAACACACATGTGATTTTATACAACTTTTACGCGATTTAATCAATAATGCAGCGTTTGTTTTTTCCCATAATTTCTAATAATTTTTTTTGTCTATTTTCATCTCAATCACAAACAGGGTGAATGCGTGTGGGTGAAGCCACAAAATGCTGTTGACAATGAATTTGCGGTGCCGTTCGGTGCGCGGGTCATACGCACGGAGAAGACGCGTACCCTTATTGCCAATGATGAGGGTAAGCAATTTTGGGTGCCCGCAGAGGATGTGCTCAAATCGATGCATATTACGTCACAGCAAGGTGTTGATGATATGATTACGTTGGGTGATTTGCAGGAGTATGCGATATTGAGGAACTTGGAGATGCGCTATGAGAAGCGGTTGATTTATGTGAGTATATTATTATGCGGCATTAGGTTGAGATAGAAAACTTTACGAGTGTGAAAGTGTATGTGGAGCGCTTCGACATATTAGTGTATTTATTGAATGTGGTCGCTTCGGTTCGACTCCTAGAAGAAGAACAATAATCTATCGAAACGCGTGGGAAGAAAAGAGCGAAGAACACACAAACAAATTCGGGAAAAATATTTAAACTTTATTTGAGTTGTTAGAAGAAGATAGATTTAGTTGATTTCTGTAGGTTATATATATACTAGCTGTACCCTGCAACGCTTCGCTGTCGCACATATTCTTTGAATGTATGAAAAATTAATAATTCGATATCTTTTTGTTATGACTTTATTTACACAATATTTGGGGAATACAAAGTAAGTGCCATTGGCATTGGTCCAGTTCCCTGAGAGTAGAATGTCCCGGCTTTTTGAATAAGTAAGTCTGGGTCCACTTCTTGGAGAGAAAAAAGACCGATACGGAGCAAATTTCAAGTAAACCGAGCCATAAATAAGATTTTTTCGAAAAAGTATTTCACTGGTTCTCTTCCCGGTGAGAAGAAAATGTTCCTGTTAATCTATGTATTTCAAATAAGCTGATCCATCAACAAGCTCTTTTTTAATAAATCAGTCCATGGTTCTCTTCCCGGTGTTCTCAGGCCTACTGCACCTAATATTTAATTAAAATCGGTCAAGCCGTTTCGGATGAGTAGCGTGTCTAATATTGTGACACGAGAATTTTATATATTTGATTAGTTCACGAATAAAGACTTCTAGTTTGTATACGCTGCGAGCTTGCCGCTCTACACCTGAGCCCTAGTCCCACAAAAAATTGTCTACAAGTGTTAAATCAAACGATCTAGGCGGCCGATTGAACGGCCTCATTCGTGGAATGAAATGTTCCCTAAACTCGTCTATTAGGGAGAATTTTTTCGGGTGCTGCATGGCATGTGGCACCGATTTGTTGAGACAACACGTTAACCAAGTTCAGATTTCCATTTTTCGCTAAAAAAAAAATTGTAATCATGACACGGTAGCCTTTGTCACAGTAACGTTCTGGGCCTTTACGTCTTTGAGAAAGTATGGCCCAATAATCTACAAAAAACGGTGTGGAATTCTTGCATTGCTTTTGGTTGCTCTTCACTCCAAAGACGGCAGTTTTGCGTGTTCACACATCAATTCAACCAGAAATGAGCTTCGTCGCTGAATACAATTTTTCAATACCACCTATACCACCAGCTATATTTTAAAAGGCTTCAAACCTAAATTTGTCCTTAAATTTTTTATATAGAGGAGTAACAGAGGCTGCAAGTGGTCGTAATATTTTTCTTTCTTCGCACTCCACATATGCGTGTTGGTGGTTTAAGTCCCAGTAATATAAATTTGGTGCGATTTTTAGTCACAAGATTCCGTACGTCCACATCTGAAGGTCGACCAAACTGAGCAGAAAATAGAAGACACTTTGTTACACAAGGCCCGAAGTCCATCACAGAGAGCGTTGCCAAAAACAAGGCTGCTAAGAAATCACCATTTACTTCGAAATTAGAATAAGTTATGAGATGCTGATTGTGAGTTCTCGGCCAGAAATATACTAAGTCTGGTACCAGCTGAAAATTAACATTAAGCTAAGTAGCCCTGTAAAAACCAGTTATATTGGTAGTAACCTGGTAGTTTTCTGATTAGATTCAGTATCATTTCGCCTCAACAAACTTATGGACGGTAGAAAGATAAATACATTTCGAAACCCTGTGATCGCATTTAAAGAGGTCCGGGTGGATCATAAAATACTGGGGCTTTAAAAGTTTTACAGGAAGGGTAAAATCTTCACCCCGTTGTAAAAATCAAGTGTCTACCATAGATATGCGCTTAAGATCTCTTTTATGTTGTTCACAGTCATCCAGACAGTTTTGAGTACGAATCCGTGGTAATTACAAGAGCTCCACTGATCTGATGATGACGATTCTCACAGTGTTGTTAGGCTTATCAGTACAAGTTGCAACCGGTATGAATGGAATAGCAGGCATAATTGGTAAAGGGTGTTTCTTTATACGTCTGTTTGTCAACGAGGGCAATATGTTCTTCGGTGTTGATTTTTTGACAGCTGTTACTTGATGAACAGACTTACTCTGGTTCGGTCGATATCATCGTTCAGCAGAATCGGTGATTCGAGCAACCACGTTTAATCTAGTGGACTTTACGCATCCACAGAGACGGCGAGCCGTGCGAGAGTACGTTGCACTTTCGGTGAATGAGACCAATTTTTACAAGAAAAATGTATACAGCGTTGAAGCTCTCTTTTGGTGGAATGGGTAAGTTAATCAATGGATTGGATTAATGGAGTATTATTGCACGGTTATATGAAGACGCTTATCTGCGTAGATAAGCCCGGGATGATTAACGCCTCAAAAGAATAGAGATAAGAGCAAAAAGTGGTATAAAATTGGGAATGGAATTTATTCGAGACAGCTATAGCACACTGTAGACAAGTAGAGAGATAGGCATATGGTTTCAAAGCATTGTATTAAAAAAGGATGGAGAGGAATGCAAACATTTAATGGGAAGTTAGTTTATAGACTTTTATTTAAAGACTTTTGACAAAGAAAATTTTTTAAAAGCCTACAACGGATAGGGTTTTATTATAATAGGGGGCAGGCTGCTACAAAGTAAGATTTTTAATTAGCTATTTATTGTTCAGAGATTCTTTTGAAGCATTTTATTATTGTAATTTAGTTTTAACTTAAGTAATGACGAAGTTCATTTCCAAATCTCCCTCCTCTCAGACCTATACCGGCTCCATGCTGATTGCCATCAATCCCTATCAAACACTGCCCATCTATACAAATCGAGAGGTCACGCAATATCGTGGCAAGAAGATCAGCGAACTGCCGCCGCACATATTTGCGATTAGTGACAATGCCTTCCAGCAATTGAAGCGCGATCGCACAAACCAGTGCATCGTGATAAGCGGTGAGTCGGGCGCGGGTAAGACCGAGAGCACCAAGTTGATACTGCAGTATTTGGCCGCCATTAGTGGTAAGCACTCTTGGATCGAACAGCAGATTATAGAAGCGAATCCCATATTGGAGGCATTCGGCAATGCGAAAACAGTGCGCAATGACAACTCATCACGCTTCGGCAAATACATAGAGATACGCTTCACAGATGCCGGCAAAATACAGGGTGCTAATATCGAGCAATATTTACTGGAGAAATCGCGCATTGTCGCACAGTCGCGCGATGAACGTAATTACCACATATTCTACTGTATGCTGGCGGGTTTGAGTAAACCGGAGTTGACGCGCTTGGAGTTGTTAGAGAATTCTTCCACAAAATATCACTACCTGTCACAGGGTGGCTGCCTGCAGTTGGATGGTAAAAATGATGCGAAAGATTTTGCTGATATACGCGCTGCAATGAAGGTGCTCTCCTTTGCGCCGGAAGAGGTTTGGTGTATATTTAGTCTGTTGGCGGCCATTTTGCATTTGGGAAATATGCAATTTACAGCAACGGTGGTGCAGAACATGGACGCTACCGAGGCTACTGATGTTGTGAATTTACAGCGTGTAGCTTTGCTTTTGGGCGTCTCGAAGAAGGCTTTAGCCACCGCGTTGACGCAAAAAACGATCTACGTGCACGGCGAACGTGTTGTGACGAGTCTTTCACGCGATATGACTATTGAGGGCCGAGATGCATTCGCAAAGTCTTTGTACGGCGCGATTTTCATACGAATTGTTGAGCGCATTAACATGACAATCGATACGAAGGAAAAACTCTCTAAAGCGCTGAACACCATTGGTGTGCTGGATATATTCGGGTTTGAGAACTTCAGCGATAATAGCTTTGAGCAATTGTGCATTAATTATGCGAATGAGAATTTGCAGCAGTTCTTCGTGCGCCATATCTTCAAGGTGAGTTTTAGTTGGAGTTGGTAAGCCTGTTATTTATAATTTAATAATTTATTTTATTTTTTTTTTCAACTTCCAGATGGAACAAGCAGAGTATGAACAAGAGAGCATTAAATGGCAACACATCGATTTCAAAGATAATCAAGAGATATTGGACTTGATTGGCATGAAATCAGTGAATATTATGTCACTCATTGATGAGGAATCCAAGTTTCCAAAAGGTAGCCGTTTTGTGGTATTAGAATTCCGTTAGATTGTAACAGTTTCTGGACTTCCTGCCTCAGATTTTTATGACATGAATTCATGTCTTAGAGAGCTCTGTAGAGAAAAAAAACTATTTGATTGCTTCTGTCTCACTCCGACCAGCGGAGTTTTCCATAATATGGGTTTCATATAATATTTTGTCTTGCTTAGCAACTTTATGATGTAGACTGTTGGGGGAAGCCGTCAGGACGTCTTCGAGTTCCATACTGAGCTCAATCAAATCTCTTATGATCATTAAAACTATTATTATATTAAGGCTTAAGATCTTCTTGGTTGCACTCGTACAAGTACTCACTCCAGTACTAGACCGTCTGTGATTGTAATATTATTTACAGCGGCGAATTGAAGAGATTGGGTAGGCTCTATGTGAGTACTGAGTATCCCAACCAGACTCTCGTAAGCAATTAGCCAATTTTTTTTTGTCGAAAGAAACCGAGTCGCTCCGGCGAAAATTTTTGAACGGTAGTCTGACTGGTTACAAACATCTCGCTAGAGGTGGGGAGCTCCACCCTAGAGTATTCTTTTTAGAAAGGCAGATGATTGTGGCATTTTTAAAGATTTCACGTTTGTTTCGGAGGAACGATGAGGACGAGGGTTTGTTTGTCTAAGCTCAGCTGACTCATTCTTTTCTAGTAGTTGAACATAACGTCTTATCTTTTAATCTTATCTCCTTAATAGTTTGTAATTCAGATGCCAAGAGAACATGTAGAAAGGTCAAATGATCACCTAAGATCGACTTTAAGCTTTAGAAGAATTCCAAAAGAGTTATTCCTAACAGATACAAGCTCGTGATGGATGAGCTAGAAATATTGTATAGTGACTAGGATAATGTAACCGACATCGCATAAAAGATGTTCGGAGAGCTTATCTCACTAAAAGACAAGAAAATATCTTCAATGATGAGTGTTCTAAGAGAATATTCTTCCATGGTATAAGAGAGACATAAAACTTTTTCCCCAACGTTGCACATTTGGAAGGAGTAGTAAGTGGTTTTGGCTGGATCTTTAGAGGCTTGAGCCAAATAACTTACTCTACATATTATTCTGTGTGATTTAATATCCTCTTCAGTGGTTTCATAATGAGCCGTTTAAAGGCCTAAGCGATTCCAAGTACCTTTTTTCTTCTTAGTGCTTAAAAGAAGATTCTCCATAGCTAAAGTCTATGCTCCATAGAAATGTATTCAGCAATAAAGATCCCATAACAGTAGTTCCTCCATAGGATCCAAATAGTCATCCCTTACATTTGCTTTGTTTCTACTCAAGGACTTTCTATGTAGGTTTCTAATTTTCTTTCTTCAATTCTATTTTATAGGCACCGACAACACATTACTGGAAAAGCTGCACGTACAACATGGCAACCGTTCGATTTATGTGAAGCCCAAATCCAATCAGGCTGCACTCTTCGGCATACGACATTATGCCGGCGTTGTGATGTATAACCCGAATGGTTTCCTGGAGAAAAATCGTGATTCTTTCAGCATGGATTTGCGTGAAATGATAAGTAAATCGAAAAATAAATTCCTAGTTGATATATTCCCATTGCAACTGCCCTACGATACAATGAAGAAACAGCTGACGCTCTCTGTAAAGTTCCGTAATTCATTGGATCTACTCATGCGCACGCTCTCGGCTGCCCATCCCTTCTTTATACGTTGCATTAAGCCGAATGAGCATAAGAAACCAAACGTAAGTTTAAAAACCGATTAAAAAATAGATTTCTTAAACCAGTAGTTTTCCCATGTTTCCAATAAGCTTGACGTTCGTGTTTATGTTTTTTCTTGCAGCTCTTCGATCGTGAGCTTTGCGTACGCCAACTGCGTTACTCTGGTATGATGGAAACCGCACGTATACGGCACGCAGGCTACCCCATACGACACAGTTACAGAGATTTCGTCGAACGGTATTGCCTGCTGTTGCCGAAACTCGCTCCCATACGCACACTCGACTGCCGCCAAGTGACCGAAGATATATGCAAGCAATTATTAACCGCCACAGCTGATTATCAATTCGGTCGTACAAAAGTTTTTCTTAAAGACGTAGACGATACCTATCTGGAGAAGGAACGCGCACGCATTGTACTCAAATCTATTATAGCCATACAAAGGGGTTTCCGGAGAGTGCTGTTCCGACGACAGCTGTGCCGTTATCGCGAAGCAGCGCTTACTATACAGAAAGTGTGGCGCGGCTACAAACAGCGACGAGATTTCCTTATCGCACGTCAAGGTTTCCATCGGCTGGGCGCTTGTATTGCACAAAAGCATCTTACACTTCATTTCACACGACTACGCAGCTGCGTGACACACTTGCAGGCACACTGTCGAGGTTACTTGGCGCGACGTGCATTTAAAATGCGTCAACAGCGACATAAAGATTTGCAGGCGCTGCGTGCAAGCGAAGAGTTGCTCGTACGACAGGCTAAAGAGCATCAGCAGGCCGATCGTGAAAGACAGTCACGACTTGGCGCAAACGCAGCAGTGGTAGCGGCAGCAACTGCACCAAAACCACCACCACGCGCCGTCTCAACGCCGAATCCCATTGTGACGCAAGCGCAAATACATGTGCGCGAGCGGCCGATGAATATGATGAACGGCATGAATGGTGTGAACGGTGTGAATGGCGGGAATGGTGTGAATGGCGTGAATGGCGGGAATGGTGTGAACGGCGTGAATAGCATGAATGGTGTGAACGGTGTGAATGACGTGAATGGTGTACACAGCGTGATAACGACGACGAAGATAGAGCCAAAACAACCAGAAAAGCAGGAACCCACCGCAAATGACGACAATTACATGGATGAGGAGTCCTCCAAACAAATTGTGGACGATGTCTTTGGTTTCCTCGATGAGGCGGATGTGAGTTCACCACCAGTGGTTTCGAATGTTCGCGCGAAGTCGTTGATGTTCGAACGAGAATTGCGTCTGAAAAAAGATATACCTATAAAATTATTATCGCGGCCGGTGAATTACTATGAGGCCCCACAACGGCAGGTTATGAATCAAATGAGATTATAAATTACTATAGTTTGGTAGGTATTAACGAAGGCAGCTGCAGCGACAGAATGACAAAAACTTATATTTTTGTAAATATAAGTACCCCTGCATTGGAAGGCCGAGCTTGTTTGAGTGTATGAAAATTCTAGTTGATTACTAGTGGTGAGAGATTGTTGCTGTCATGCTGAGATTCCATTTCCGAATCCCGTTGAAGGTGAACTATTTCTTTGCTATTTCTGCGTATTAAAATTTCAACATACCTAAAGGGACTAGTATTTAACTGGTATGAAGCTAGTCTTTAAGCAGAAAATGCCGCGTTAAAAACAACAAACGACAAAACGTGGGCAACTTAAGTAAAATTTATTAAAACATGCACACAAGTAGCCACATAATTAAGTGCTAGACTCTCTGACTGTAGGGGTTGAAGTGCGTGCGCACGAAGTGGAAAACTGAAGTTTGTAAAATAAAAAATATTTTTATGTTCTTGTAATTTTAGTAGTCGATTTTAGAAATTGTATTTATAATTGCATTAAAAAGCAACAAATTTGTATAAATTAGTTAATTTTATTGCTTCATAAATGCTTATGAATTGTTTAATTATTTGTGTAGCATTTATTTTTAAAACAAATTTATTTGTCAATCATTTTTCAATCCATTATTTGTACCATACATACACATATTCAGATTTAAACTGCCTGTGTTAGGTCGAATGTATATACATATTGTATATGTACATATTAATTTTAATAAATATTTTTATATGTAAAAAGTCATAAAAATAATCAAATTTTCGTTTTCTTTTTTTTTTTTTATAAATTAATAAATAATTTATTATGTATTGGATGAATGCATAAATTCGTGCCCGATTTCAAGTACAAACTAAAATTGAAATTTTTTGAAGAAAGCGCTTTTATTAATCAATTATGTATGCGACATCATGTTTGGCAATCCACTTCCAACGTTCAACCAATTTACGGATGCCTGATTCATAGAAATCGCGCGGTTTCTCGTTGAAAAAGGTGTCAAGGTAGTTTTTGACGTCTTCCACATTTTCAAATTTTTTTCCATTCAAATTGTTCTGCAGCGATCAAAACAAATGATAATCAATCACAATGTCGGGTGAATATGGGGGATGCGGCATGATTTCCCAAGGGTCGGTTTTGCAACATGCGGCCTGGCGTTGTCATGATGGAAAAGAACTCCTTTGCGATTGGCCAAAATCGGACGTTTTTCATCAATTGCTTTCTTCAATTCGACCAATTGCTGACAATACTTGTTGGCAGTGATCGTTTCTCCAGCTGGCAAGAGCTCAAAATAGAACACGCCTTGGATATCCCACCAAATGCACAGCAGTACCTTCGTCGGATGCAATCCACCTTTCGACATCGGTTCCGCCCCTACGTGAGTTATTCGCAACTAATGTGCTTAGAACATCGTCATCAAGCTCAGAAGGCCGTCCACTGCGAGGTTGATCTTCGAGGTTAAAATCTCCAGAACGAAATTTCGCGAACCATTCCTTATTGTGCGGAGTGCTGGAGCACGGTTCAAATAAACTTCGCGAATATCTTTAGTTGCAGAGCCTACTGTTTTTCCTTTGCGGAATTCGTTGTCCTTCTTCCATGCGTCTTTTCACTAAGCAACTCAAGTCAAAACGAAATTATTTTATGCTTGATTTACAGTTCCAACGATATATAATGTGTATATATTTCTTTCACGAGCGCCACTCTCAAACGATTCGAACGGCATCCAGCGGAATCGGGCACGAACTTATGCACTCATCCAATAGTTTATGATTCTGAAAAATTTCCGAAAGCGTTTCAAGAATTTTTTATTAAATTTTTATTTGAAAAACTATAATTTATTATTTATTATTTGAGGAATCTTATAAAACTAAAAATAAATGCAGCGCCATCTCTTTGCATTCGTTCACCCAATTTGCTTTAAATTAACTAAGACTCTTGCAACCCGATGTTGGTAGTGGTAACATTTGTAGACTCTGATTCACTTTCACATTGCTTTCATTGAGCGGGCTTAATAATTTTTTATATATTAAAATATTTAGTTTGATAACTACTTAATGGTTATTATTAACTTGAGCTTTTGTTTTTTAAAATAAAAAAATTATTAGCATATGTAAAATTTATTTAGTTATTAACTTACATACATACATAGCTCTTTTTGTATTTTTATCTAAGATACACCCCCAAGATTTTTGCTTGGATGCCAAATTCAAAAATTACGATCCTCATATTAATAACTAATTATATTGTTTTGCATTACATTTCACGATTTCCCTAATGGGGTAACAAGTATAAAGTCCTCTATGATATTCTAGGGCTCAAGATTTTGTTCGAACATTTTCGAGCAGCTCGAGCATTTGAGCAACGAGTACTCGCACACTCGTTCATCGCTCATTGCTTGAGTATTTTGCATAAAAACTTTGACCTTTTTCCCAGAATTTTTTTCTATAATTTTAATTTCATTTTTGTAAAGTGTAAAATTCATAGAAATTTTGACAAACAAAATTGAAATTTGGACAATTTCAAGCTATCATTTGAGCATTTGGGCAGCGAACGAGTATCGAGTTGCTCACAGTGCGGGTATTTAGAGCTCTACTATATTCACGTTTGTAGATAATTGTATTATTTCATGAAATTTTTCAAAATACACATTCACCTATACATATGTACATATATACATATAAATCCGTAAAAAACAAATTCAATTATGATATTTTTAAATTTTTGCCTGACCAATATAGTACCGGTGTAATAATATTTTTTTACAACTCTACCATCGCCTTCAAAGTAGTTCCCTTGGGCAGCTATACAACGATTCCAGCGCGACTTCCATGATTCGTAACATAACTGGAACGTTTCGGCTGGGATGCCCGCGCGTACTCTCGTCACGGCCGCCTGGGTGTCCTCAATCGACTCAATATGGGTTCCTTTGACCACCGATTTTATTCTAGGGAACAAAAAAGTCACACGGTGACATATCAGGCAAATAAGGCGGTTATTGCAACACGGTGATCCCTATAAAGGCCAAATACTGGCACACGCTGAGGGCGGTGTGGCACGGCGTGTTGTCGTGATGAAGGATCTAGTTGCGAGCGATGTCTTGGCGCACCCTGTTGACTCGTTTTCGCAATCTTTCGAGTACTTGGCGATAGTAGACTTAATTTAAGGTTTGCCCCAATGGAAGAAACTCTTTGAGGATGATTCCACAACTATCAAAAAACCTCGACTGGTCTCCCGGTCCTCGCCTCGTCTGCCAAGCTTTCATGCTCTCCTTAAAATCTTTATGCCATCAACTTTCCGAAGCTGTTTTGCCCAATTTGGCCCAAAATTTTAGCACGACGCCTTACTCTTGATTTCGTTTTTCCATTTTCGCGACGAACAGCATGAACACACGTTTACCCAACACGACACAGCCGGCGAACTAAACAAGCTACAGCGATGGCAAAAATATATCAATGGAGTGGAGAAGTATGCCGGGAGAAGAGAAAGGGACTTTCAATTTCGTATGGTTGCCAAAATCGCGGCAATATAATCAGTCTCATTACTTTATTGTCACACCTCGTATGTGTGGAGTCCATGGCTTGATTTAATCTCCTACCTTCATACCGAAATAATGCAGTCTTTACGCGCTCTTTTCTTATTTCCCTAATCTTATTTTATCACCTTCCATTTGGTATCTCCCTGCATTAATGAATCTTATTTTTGAATCTGTTATAGATTTTCAGGTGACTCTGGCAAAAAACCGCTGAAACAATCCTTGCTTCAATATGGTGAACCATTAGATGCGATTGCCGCTCAGGTGGGTATGCATCGAAACTAACATCGAAAACGTTAATTAATCAATAGTTTCAAAATTTTAAAAGAACATTTGGATAATGATTTTACAGTTTATGGACGACATGGCTGAAGATAAAAATGGGGGCGAAGAAATCACAGCTCTTAATTCCGCACATGACACTGGCGCATATCCTGCACCAACTGTGTATAGAATTAGCATGATGAGGCGTCTGGCAGCATTGTTTTCCAAAACAGTCCTACAAGGCGGAGCATACAAAGCAATAGTCGGCACGCTCAACGATGACGAGTCCAATTCTTCTCAGCCAATACAAAACATATTGCAAGGTCCCGATGTCATATCTAAAACTAAGGGAAATTGTGAGGAAATCGAATTCTACAAGCAGATTTCGAAGGAGCGGAGCAGCGGTTTGGAAAAACTGCAGTTCATAGTTGGACATGGTATACTGCGAGCCACACTAAGGTGAGAACTGAAGACAAAAAAATAGGCTGGAGAAGGTAAGGTGAGCGCTTTGAAAGTAGACATTAAATGCTATTTTTATCTCCAGAGACGAGATTTTGGTACAAATCTGCAAGTAACTCACTGAGAATCCAACTCGCACATCTTCGACCAAAGGCTGGCTACTACTTTCGCTATGTCTAGGTTGCTTTGCGCCTAGCAAGCGCTTAGAAAATGTCTTACGTTGTTTCATACAAAATGCTACCACATTATTGGCGCCTTATTGTGAGCAACGCTTGAGTAGAACATTGCAGGTAAACCACTTTTCCTCCTCCTCACTCACTCCTTATGCATGCGCAAACCTAATTTCCTATTACAACAGAATGGTTTACGTACCGAACCACCCTCGTGGCTTGAGTTAGAGGCTGCTCGTAATAATACGCCTATAACACTAAATATTTTACTCGCGGATGGTTATACGAAGAAGTTAAAGGTAGACTCAGCCACCACCGCTAGGGAAGCAGTACAACAGTTAGCGGCGCATATGGGCCTACTCGATTGCTTTGGGTTTTCCATTGTCATCTCAATTTCTGGCAAAGCAGTCTCTCTTGGCAGCGGCAATGAGCATACAATGGATGCTATCTCAAGTTGTGAACATTACGCCAGAGAGCAGGGAAAGTGCGAGCTCAGCGCGTCGTGGAAACTGTACTTTCGTAAGGAAATGTTTAGCGCTTGGTATGAGCCGAGCAGCGATCCATTAGCGACATTATGTGGAGCATGGGGCAAAGTTGGATGGAAATGTAGGTGATTTTTACTTTTTTTATAAGCTAAAATAATTTTCTCATATTCTCCGCAATTACTGCGTAAGTTCATACCCAACTTCATACCGAGAGATCTTCTATACGCCGGCGAGCAAAGCCTAAGAAGTTGGCAAACACTTATTACAGAATCGTTTGCTGCAAATATATATGTCAAATCCCGTACAGCCAAACAGCAAGCCATGGCTGATATTTGCTCATACGCACAACTCCTGCGCCCCTGCACTTCTCGCATTACTTTGAAGCTGTATGGATCGCAGGTCCCACCCTTTTGACAGATAACATAATTATAGCCATTAATTCGGAAGGTGTCTTTTACATTGATGGCACCGAGCAGGTGTTGGCTGAAATCGCCAAGTTTCGTGTGTCTCCACGGCGCACTCAAATATCAATGAGCTGCATATAGATACGGTACAGGACGAGAGTTTCACCTTTAAATCTCAAAACACGCTCAAAATATGGCATTGCCGTAGAAGATTATAAGCCAACTGAGGCGGAGTATGGTGCGTGTCTCGGTTCCCGCAAAGGTGATCTAGTACGTTTTGGTCCCGACACATTTGGCTCACAAGTCTTGGAGGCGAAGCAGCGTTTTTTGCCTGGCGTTTGCAACGCTGTGGAAGGGGAATTCACCGCGGAAGTCGTAAGCGCCTTGGCAACGCTTACAAAGCCACCGCAAAAGTTTTTGCAGGTATATAGAGAGTGCGCGGAAAATATGCATAATCAAGATTTGGATTCGGTGAAACATACAACGGTACAGCGCCAACGTCTGCACACACTGAGAAAATTTGCAGAGCAACATTTTCGCGAGGATATACTGTAAGCAGATTCTCCCCTTTTTCTCTCTCTGCTGAGAGATATTTTTAGAATTGTGAATTTGGAAATGTTTATCTGAAAGTTGCCATCTATAAAAATTGTATTCAAATAAGCATAGTTCTTAAAGAAACTTTTGAACTTTACGATTACCTCCAGTTTTTTTTTTAAATTCCAGCTCTGACATGCCTTCCCAGTCCCAATTACATTTAGCAAACTCTCCAAAGGAAGCACTTTGGCGGCTTTCATGCAATATGCTAAAAGCTCCACTGCTCAAAACGGTGCTACGCGATCCAGAGAGTTCCCAAAAGGCGCTTGTAATCTTCTATAATATATTAAAGGTAAGGAAACCATTGCAGCGAAGTCCGCTGCGGGATTGGAGGTATATATAATTTCGGACAAAGCTCAGCGATCAGAATAGACAGAATAGATCATAATCCACTATGATCTATCTAAGATAGAAGGCTGCCACTTTAAATGCAGATGGTTGGGCGGAGACGTGCGGTGCGCCAATGGAACTTACAACACCTGCACGGACGGATCAAAAATGGTCTACAGGTACACGTCTCACATCTAACTGGTCCAACGGTGATTAGAACAATAATATCAACTCATATTAAGTTCAAAAATACCCTTTAAAGCAGAGATCCAATACGAAAGCGAACTGCAAAGACGCTCATGTATATTTACTGGTCTTCAGTCCGCTAGGGAATAATGTGAATCGAGGTGGTGGATCCGATTGGTAGAAATATAACCGTCTGGCGGTGGAACTAGTACATTAAATTCGAAATGCGCTTAAGATTCTGCTCAATACTGTTTCGAGAGAGCTGTAAGACGGATCTGGATGAGATAAAATGCATTTACGGCTTGCTTTTGTAGTTGAAGCGAAGGATGGGTTTTGTTTTTTCTTACGTGGTATCGAAAGACTAATGACATCATATAGTCTGTTAGCAGGCTTTCCCATTATGTTTTAAAAATGATTTCGAAAAAATACCACCAAAGAGGGCCAAATTTCGACCACTTTTTGAAGCAATGGGTATCGTGAGTCAAGCGAATTCACATCACCCTACAAAAGATAGTAATTTTTCATTTTATTGTAGATAAAGAACGTCCCCTATAACATTGGAATTCAGGCACGTTTTGTAGCGGTCCCCATTGGCTGTAACATTACGGCCAGTTTAATTTTCGAGGAAATATTGACCAATATACCAACACCAAACTGTGTTTGTATGGGAATGTAAGGGAGAGTCAATAATGGCTTATGAACCATCGTCACTGCAAATACGGCAGGTACCCCCTCAACCAAAATGAGCTTCGTCACTGAGCGAAATTCGCTTGTGAAAATCGGGATCGGTGCCCATCTTGATTTGGTTGCATTCACCAAAGTTCTTGATGCTCGTTCGGTAAGGGCTCTTTTCAACCTTACAAAAGGGTTAGCACGAATTAAATTGAACCTCCATGAGCAAACGCAAGGAACCAACTGGTCTGCGTAGGGTGACGCAGTCAATCAGTATACCCTAACCAAACCTAAGGTACTTTCAATGTGGGTTTTTCGATGCTTAGACAGTTATATGGTAGAGGGAAGCTGGACTTAGTATAAACTGCAATATCAGATATTTTTTCTAGAGCTTTCCATATTGATACGATTTAATATATTTCAGTACATGGACGATGCGACGCATGACGAGCAGATTATAAGCACGGATTTCATATTTAAACCTGCGCTAGAGCGGCAAGCACTTCGCGATGAACTCTACTGTCAACTAATGAAACAACTAAATGGTAATCACCTGCAAAGCAGTGAGGAGCATGGTTGGGATTTAATGTATCTGGCTACTGGTGTAACATATCCCGGTCCACTGGTTTTGAAAGAGCTACTACAGTTCTTGAACACAAGCCCACATATGCTGGCCGCACAGCCATTGAAGCGATTAAAACGCACGTTGGAAAACGAACAGCGCAAGCGAGGGCCACATGCCATAGATGTGGACAGCAACGTTTCATGCATATAGTCACATATTGACATATCATATTAACGTTAGCCGTCAAATTTTTTAGAATCGCTGAGGAATATAATTAACATATGTACATATATTCCTCGCGATAATAAAAATAAACAAAAGTACATGAGCGTATTTCATAGAATTTATGCAAGCAAGCAAATAAATGCATAAGAGCATGTCTTATTCCATGGAAAGTATATATAAGCGTATCTTATTTCATAGGATTTAGGAATAAATAAGATGTTAATAAAGTAAACAGAAGCAGTTCAGAAGTAAGCTTAGCGAAGAAGCTTTGTATTTTCTTTATCGGTTGAAGTTACTTTTACCACCGAAAACTCTTAGCGAAGAAGCTTTGTATTTTCTTTATCGGTTGAAGTTACCTTTACCACCGAAAACTGGCGACGAGGATATACC